TATCGAAGGAAGGTGCGTCTTCCTCAGCCTCTTGATTGCAACTTCCTGATGGGGTCCGAATGTGAAGACACGTCAGTCAAGTTCTTCCTTCCTTCCTTCCATTTCGTCTGTAATCTGGAGCCTCTCGTTCTTCCAAAGTCATTGAGGAAAGGGCAAAGATTGAGAAGCAGGTAAAAGATTCCATCTCCGCTGGAATTGAGGCCATTTCAGCAATGAAACCCCGCAATCACCGCAAAATGACCCAGGAAATGCATCCCGCAATTCAACCCGCAGGGCTGAATGCTTGCGCAGCATCCATTAAGTCTTGGCACTTCTGGGCTGGGTCAGCTAGCGAGTCTAGCGTCAGCTCCGGCAACCTTGGAAGCCCAACGCCATGTTAGCGGAGCCAGCTAAGACACCGTCAACCACTCACCTTCACCGAGCTTGTCATGGTTAATCATGGCTGAGATTGCAAGAGCTCAAGGGGTCACAGCCACGCCAACACACTCTTCTTCCCCTCCTTGAACAAAGGAAGCCAGCCTGAAATATCACTTCAGCCGACCCCAAGCGTCATTTCACACCTTCTTTCTTTCTCTCTCTCTCTTTCACCATGTGCCGTCTCACAAACTACGACAACCATGGTCAACACGTGGAACCTAAACATGGCCGACTATGACAAGTCCAACAAAGACGGCACAGTAGTCACCGTCCTCCCCATCCGCACAGACAGCGCCAAGTCCCTCGTCGAAGCAGCCTACAAACTCTCCCTCCAGAAGCGCAAAACCGGCTGTCGAGAGCTGGTAGAGTCCAACTCGTCCCTACCAAAAGCCACGCCCTCCATCCACCTCCACTGCAGCACCTGCACCTGCGCTCCCCCCTCGCCCCTCGATACCTCAAGCGAAGATGCCTCCCTCTCCCGCAAGATCACCGCCGCAGCCGCCGTCTGCCGGGCCAAGGCGCTCACCTCGCCCGGCTCGTCACCAAAGCTCTCCTCCCTAGCAGCCTTCCAGTCCGTGAGCAGGTGGCTCACCTTCACCTCCCCCACCTCGCCCACACCAACCAGCACCGTCGCCGACCTCTGCTTCGCCGTCTCGGCCCTAGACATAACCAAAACCGCCCGCCTCCTCTTCGACGACAACCTCCCCCTCAGCGAGCGCAACCCGGCCGGAGTCCCGCCGCTAATAGCCTGCATCCGCTCCCACCTGGCCGCCACCCACCCTCTCTCCCACCAGGCAATGGTCTCCCTCCTCCTCGACGCCGGCGCAGAGCCCAACATCGTCACGTCCTCCTCCCCCGCCGGCGGCTCCATGTCCGCCCTAGCAGCGGCCTCCTCCCTCGGCCTCCCCGCTATAGTCCGCCTCCTCCTCTCCCGCGGCGCGGCCGTGGACGCCAAGCTCTCAACCATCCCCATGTTCCGCTTCTCCGGCCACGGCCTCACAGCCCTGCACGTGGCGGTATTCGCCGACAAGCCCGAGGCGGCGGACATCCTCCTCTCCCACGGCGGCGCCGACGTGTCCGCTACCTTCGACGGGTACCGCGCCATCGGTTCTCCGTCATCAAGCCCCAAATCCTCCAGCCCCAGTCCCAGTGGACGTCGCCACTCCCGCGTCTGGACGACGGGGATAACACCCCTCCACCTGGCCGACGATTCCCCGGCCTGCACCTCCCTCCTCCTCCGCCACGGCGCGGACGCACTAGCCAAAGACGGCTTCGGACGGACGCCGCTGCACTGGGCCATGACGTCGGGGAACGTCGGCGTAGTCCACTTGCTCCTCCGCGCCGGCACGCCGGCCGACGTCTGGGACGACGACGGCGCCACGCCCCTCGCGCTGCTGGTCACCAGGCTCGAGAGCGGCGCGAGCAGGGCGGGCCACCCGGACGTGGTGAGGATGCTCCTCGCCGCGGGTGCGAATCCGGATCTGCGGTACCCGCAGGATTTGAGTGTTAAGGGGAGGTTGCTGTTGATGGAGGAGTGGAGGGGTACGTACGAGGGGATTTTTGAGAGGTATGCGCTTGGGGGGAGGAAGTCTGGGTAAGGGGTTTCGCAGGCGCTTTTGTATTTTGGAGTTGGGTCTGGTGCATTGCATTGGGTGGTTTTGCATTTTGGGAGGTGATTGTGGGATTTTTGAGCGATGGTTTATGATCTCTCTCGTTTTCGGGAGAGGATTTGGATGGAGTTAATACGATACCACTGCATTCATTCGTTCCTATCTCAACGTCAGCTCTCTTTGATGATCGCGACTGGTCAGGGTCTCTATCCCTTTTTCCCCCTGTTGGTCTCAATATCTAGTCCAGGCCTCCCGACAACAGATGTTTGTGTGGTGGAAATTATCTGATTCTGCATGGCAAGCGATAACCGTAACCAGTGACAGACAGTAGGCTTGTTTCTACCGCCCTTTGTGACCCGGCAGACGGGATGTGACCGTGTGAGTCTTCCTACCACGTTCGTCTAGCGCGTCAAGAAAAAGCGTCCCAATACGGCTATAAACAACTCCCTTCCTCGTTAACGAGGCTAGCTTGCACACGCCGCCCACCCATATTCAGACCTAGCCCGCGAAGGCCCTGACGGAGGTGCATAGTGGCAGCCCAAGGAGGAGCCTATTTCCCCTACCCGCTTTGAAACGGCCCCCGGGCGGGAATAAGAAGTGCCGGTATTTACGCTCGTTCTCTCGTAGATCTGGAGACACTATGTGATTGCAGACTATGAACATAGTCCACGACGGAGATGTATAGAGGTACTGAAAGTTAGAGGTTAGACTAGGTGTACCTAAATGCACGATGATGGGAATACACGACGAGACGACGTTCAACTTGCTCGCCGCACCCCTAAACAGACCACATCTATATAGGGTTACAGCTAGGTAACCAGCAGATCGGGCACCGTCATTTCCCGCTTCGCTGTCTTCCACTTGCCTGTCGTCCCCTTGTCTGTTTTGTTCCCTGCGTCTCCTTCTAAGCCAGGGGTTGAGGAAGATGTCGCTCGAGCCAGACGTCCATGTCCTCTCGAAGTCCCGAGTCCTCCGGCAGCAGCCCGTTGTTGATCTGCGCTATTGCCTTTCCCCCCAGGGAGGGCGCAGGCGGCTGCCAGGGCGTATAGCACTTGAGATAGAACAACCGCCAGTCGCGCAGCCCTTGGTCATTTTCCACCAAATGTCCGGCGGAAGCTCTATTTCGTGGAATTAGTCTTCCCCGTTGACCCCAATATATCTCCAGATTGGCAGAGCCGGTGGAAGGTCGGGATTACCGAACGATTGTCTCGCGGCTTACCAGCTCCAAGATGCTACTGCGGCTCAAGCTGGCTAGCCACTGGGCGTCCCGGCTGGCTAGAGAGAAATGAAGCAGGCGTCTTGCTGGCGGATCTGGTCCATGATCGATGGCTGACCACCCAAGATCCCTCACGTAAGTCTCTCTCCCAGGTTGATGATCATCCATGCGGACGCTAATCAGGTCGATATCGCAACAGTCCGCGAAGTTACGCCATTGAAACGGAGCCGGAAGCGTCGTCTTCAGGTCAATACACCACATATGGAAATATGCTGACCACGGTGAATCTTCTCAGTTGTCTTCCAACTGGTGGACTGCGGTAAATGGAGTGAGGACACTAGGTGGTTCCATGGCGAGCGCTCTGGCACCTGAGGTGACGGAAGGTGAGTGTGATGGGGAAACTGTCTTGACCACTTGCAGGCGGACTGTGGAACACTTTCGTACGGGTCTGAGGTCTCCCTCTTAGCGGCAGTGATTCTCTCAGTCCGGGCTTGATTTATTCGGCCTATCTGGTCCATGACACTGTAAACCACACGACGAAGGGTGCCGTTAAGCCTCTGAGAGAAGGTAGGGTCCTTGCCGAGGGTCGAAGATTCTTGTCCGGCTTCCTCGTCGATGAAGAGGGTGACTTCTCCGAGACCAAGAGACCATGTTGAAGTGGTTGTTCGTTGTCGATATCCGGATACGGTGGTGGCTCCTGGTCATGGCCACGTACTTGTTCGTTTTCGCGAGACATATCGGCGAGAACTCGGTTGGCTAGATAAAGGAGTAGAAACGGCATTAGCGGACGAGTTGACTTTGAAATGGATGAAGTTAGGGAAGAAGTCCTCCCCAGAAATACTTTCTTTGATAAGGGGTGCAAGCGCAGCAAGCCCAGTTTGTACCCGGGTGACTGAGCATATTTGAGCAGCGAAACCAATGGAAGCTTGGTAACAACGTACGCGTGTATTAGACGAGATGAGATAACATCACTGCAGTATCGGAAGCTAAATTGGAAACCTTCAATGTTCTTTGCATGCTCAACGTTGAGCGGACCTCCCGCACTGGTGTCGTCTGGTCTCTTCCGCAACGTACGTCACATGCTGCCGGACGGCTTTACCGCCGTGTTGTGACGTATTGAAAACAGCTCAGGTCTATGACCTTCAAGATACATGGTCCCGAACAAGGGCTGCAAGGTAGAAAGGTAAACACACAACGTCAACTGCTCTAACCATCAGCCGGTTCCTACCCAGAGCACGTATAACAACTTCCACGGCCTTCATCTTCCACGTACGACCATAGATACTGGAGAACTCGGGATCCCGTCCGCTCTCCCATAGATAAGCCAGTAATCGTCAGACTAGTACTCGGGTGGGTGACCACCGGGGAATCCCTGATGTTGTACGTTTTTGTTTTGTTGCCCCTTTTCCATTCCTCCGCTGAAAAGAGCACCATGCAGTTTTGGATACACGTCTTGTCGCCCTCCTCCAAACTTACCACTCGCTGCCGCTGCACATTGACGCCCGTTTGACGTTTCATTCTACATTAGACTGAGATTGTTCCCAACTTCCTATCGTTATCCTGCGCATCCCACTAGCCTGACTCATTCGAGACTCCGCCCCAGTGAGTCATTCCACCCCCTCCGCTCCACGACTCATGCCACCAGTCTGTTGCTCCTCCCTCCATATGTTCCTGTTTTGCACCTTCCAACATCATCCACAGGTCGCACCTTCCCCTGGCTCAACGGACCCAGCGGTGGCAGGTGGCTTCCTCAAAAAGGCCTAATGGTCTAGTAGTATGATTCCTGCTTTGGGTTGCTTCAAACACATCGATTGCAGGAGGTCCTGGGTTCAACTCCCAGTTGGGCCCTTTTTTGGTCTCCCCGAATATCAAGATGCTTGGGAGATCTCCTTTTGCATTAGCTGAACTGCTGGTATCTACTTGCAGTCGTCATGCCCCCATTTTTGCCGATGTTCCCTTCATGACTTCATACCCGTCCACGTGAACAAATAACTGATGTCGATTCTTGTTGGGGGTTTGCTATGTAGACGTCAACATGAGTCTCAGAACTGACGAGTGACTAGTTCACTAAGCTGGATCCCTAACCACAGTCATCGCCGTCTATGGCTCGCATATTCATGCGAGCTTCCTAGGCTCAACTCGAAGGATCACCGTCCATCTCATCAGACACGAGTATCAGATCACGGTTGCCCATCATCAACAGATACCCCACCTCAAACCCCCTCCCGACCCTCAACATCGACCCCCCGATACTCAAACCACCTCCCCAACTCCTCGTCCTCCACCAGTTTTCCCACCAGCTCCTTCTCCACAGCAAACTGCACCTCCACCCCCTCATCCTCCCCCCCTTGCTTGGGCGGATAAACAATCACCAACCCCTCGCTAACAGTGTCAGAAAACAAATGCCTGAACGCCACGGGCCTCCCGAACCCGAACTCCGCCGTGGCGCAGACGTCCGCATCGCGCCAGTCCGTCACCCCGAACGTCAGGGGAGGGAACGAGTTAATCCGCACGGAGAGGTCCTTCTTGTTCCCCACGGGGGCTACCGCTTGGAGGACGGTGTCTAGGTAGGTGGAGGTGCCGGTGGAGGTCATGCTGCGGACGTAGCTTGCTAACCTGGAGAGCGGAACATCGGGGGAGGTTATTTCCTCCACAGTGAAGGCGGGAACGGGGGACATAGCCGAGAGCACGGCGAGGAATTGGTTGCCCTGCATCCTGGTCGGGAGGGGCGGGGAGAGCCGCTTGGACATGTTGATCCCCTCCGCCCATATCGGTGTGGAGGTAGGATCGGGGTTGTGGAGGGGCACCCGGAGGCGGGTGACGACGCGCCACAGGAGGGCGACGAAGGCGTCGTAGGTCGATATCCAGCTGTTGCCGTCTGTGGGGGATGCGGCCTGTTTGAGCACCACGGCTTTGCTTTTCGGGAGGTGGAAGATGACGCAGCTGGACGGCTTGTGGTCGGGATGACGAGCTGCTTGGGGTGGGGCAGACACCTGTGCCGAGACCGGGATGGGAGGGGAGGCGAAGCGGCTGCGGTCGAGGCATGCGGGATCCCACGGTGGGAAGGGCGTGCTGTCGATGATGGCGCGGCAGTTATCGGCCAGCTGCCGGGTGACGGACGCCCAGCCTGCCACGTCGTTGGCGTAGTGGTGCGAGTGCATGTTGAGGATGAGGCCACCGGGGATGAAGTTGGCCTTGTAGGAGGCCACGACGGGGCTGGCGTCCGGGTCCGCCTCGGGCTTCTCGCCGTAGGTCATGGGTGAGTTGCTCAGGAGGTTGATATCGCCCAGACTGGTGCCGACGAAGTGGGCGCTTTGGATCTCGGCGAAGGAGGGGAAGTCGTCGAGGTGCTGGACGACGAATTTGACGGAGCTGTCCTTGCGTTTCACGAAGGAGTGGTGACCGTCGGGGTCGCGCTCAATGGTCCCGGCTAGGTGTCGCACTTGGCTGAGGGTGCGCTCCAGGCCCCGCTTGAGGACGTCCACTACCTTCCTATCAGGTTGTTAAATGTCATGGTTCGAAAGTGAGGGTATAATACTGACCCCTTATCGGCGGCATCTAGCTTGAAGAAGAGAGCATAGCTGTTGTAAGTCAGGGCCGTCAGGTAGTCAAGCGTCGAGAGCTTGAAGCGCTCTTCCTCGGGGTCGTTCTCCCAGCCCAGCGGACGCAGCTGATACTCGAACACCTTTGACATGATGGCTACGAGAACTATGAGACAACAAGTCGGTGATGTGATGGCACAAGGTCGCCGATGTGTCCAAAGGTTTTGGTCCTTGAGATCCAATTCCAGGATGCCAACCGACAACGAGCCTTTTAAGTAGCTCATATCCTGGAGAATATAAGGTGCCGAAGTAGAGTGCGGTTGCATTGCATCCAACACCCGCATATTCTTCTCCATTGGGGGGTCATTTGCGACGGGGTAGATACGGGTCTACGGGTAAACCTACTGTATAAGGTAGTTGCAGCCTGTATTAGTTTTTAGATCGGTCATCATGTCGCAATCGCCAGGTGCAGACGCTGGCGTGTTTCGGTACCGTCGAACTGGTGCAATGGTATGAGGCTGGGCGTAACGGTGGTGCATCTGGCTGACTACCTACCTTGCCTACCAAGACAATACTAGGTCTATAGAACATACCAAGTATACCAATCACTGGACAATTTTCCGAGGCGCCCAATGAGCGACTATCCATGCCTTTTGGCTCTCACTCTAAACCAATGCAACGAACCCAATCTTGGGATAGAGTGACCGCACATACCTTATGCGGGTCGAGTCTCGCATCCTCGAGATCGCCAGATCCTTATATCCGTCAGAACAAATCTCGGACAACGTGATAAACGCCCTCCGCGCCATCCATCCCTTCTCGAGGACTAACGACCCGACTGCCGCCACCACTCTGAACACGAGCAGCCGGGTGAAGTTGTGTTAACGGGCCAGGCGCCGTCCTACGCCGTCCGTTGAGCCCCGTGTACCCCTCAAAGATGGCCGTCATCTCATCCTTCAGCCGGAGTCCATTCTTCTTGTCATCTCCACCTCCTGCCGCTGCCTGGGCCTGACGTCCCTGTTGTTGTTGTTGCAGTACCGGCGGAACAGCAGCAGGAAGCTGCCCCGCCTGCACATAGTGGCCAGGCGGGGCATTGAACTGGTGCTGTTGTTGCATACCAGGCCGACCGATGCTGCCGCTAGATGGCCTACTGACCGGCGCCGGCAGCATGGGCATAGGGGTCTGAGGCCCGCTGCTGCCGGCAGACATACTCCCCATGCCCCCCGAAGCGAGTCCGGCCATCGCCATTGCGGCGCCCGACCGCTGTTGCTGCTGCTGGTCGCCGTCGTCTTCCGACAGACCTAGGCGCCGGGCGTACGCCTTCAGCGAGCCTACCGTGCGCCACAGCCGCTGAGACACCCAGGAGCGGGCGGACATGTCCTTCACCAGCTCGAGAGCCATGTAGAACTCCGTGCGACACTGGGAGCTGAACTGTAGCGGCGCGTGGGTCGATGCTAGGAACAGCACGGCGATGGCCGAGGTGAGGAATTGGTGGTAGAAGACTTGATTCTTCCGGTAGAGGTTGGACGTGTTGTTCATGTGCGCCATGTACCGGATCGTCTCCTTCGCCAGGTCAACTGCGCGTTGGGCCAGAGGCATGTTCTCGGCTATGCTGCTTGCGCTGTGGAGAACGGGGGTGTGTAGCCAGATGCGGATCTAGAGCGGTGTTAGAGTGGGTTTAGGTAACAAGGGAGGTTCGCGGTTCGTACCTGGTTCAGCCGGAGACGGGTCCAGATCTGTAGGCGCTCGGTGTTATATGCCGGACCTGAAGGCATGGGCACGATCCTGCTTAGAGATGCGACCTTGATCTCCTCTGGTACTGTCTTGTACCAATCAAGGATCTCGTTGTCCAGCTGGTCGAAGTCCTTGCGCTGAAGCTCGCGCACGACGGCGGGCTCGAAGTAATCGACCAGTCTCCAGATCTTTGCCCCGAGCCTGGAGTAGGTGATCATAGCCACGAGATATGGGTGCGAGTCCTAGAGGGGAGGTTAGGGAGACGAAGCATACACGCGTAACGATAACAACGTACCGGCATCGGCAGCTTAGGATCGATCTTGTCGTCGTCGCACACATAAGGCAGCCCGGTTCCAAAGCTCCATCTCCTGTCCAAGACATACGCCGACCAGAAGGCCATAAGGGCGTTGCGCCGCGCATTGTCGTCCGCGATCTTCTCCAGTCCCTCCCTCCTGTGCAGGCCTAGCTCCAGGCACAGACGGCATACCTGGCCGATGATACGCCACGCCAGAATCTCGTCGTTAGAGAGGAACCTGTAGCCAGCGACAAGAGCGAGGAACGGCAGGTTGTTCACGTCGACAGGTTCGCTCATGAGCTTCCTGTCCACGATCGGGCCGATGCTCTCGAACAGGAGCGTGGCCTTGTCGCTGTGCCCGTGCTCTTCCACCACGAGGCCGCAGCACATGACGATCTTGAGGATGCACGTGTTCATGTCGCTTATGCCGTGGTCCTGGCCGTGGGGAGGGACCATGCCGTTCCTCTTGGCCGACTCCATCCACGTGGCCAGGAACTTCGCGTGCTCGATGACGCTCCCGATCTGGATGACGGGGTACATGATTCCCACTTCCTCCTCGTGGACCCGGCACAGGCGGACCATCTCGTTCTTGTCGAAGTCCCAGAGAGGATCCCGCGGCCCTACCGCAGGAGTGTGGGGTGGACCGACGATTGGGTTGAGGGTCGGAGACGGCATGGGACTATCCTCCGCCAGTCCGCCGGCCTCGTCTTGTCCCTCCCCAGCGGTGGAGTATCCCATATTGTGTAGTGTATTCTTCGCCATATCGACTGTGAAGTTTATGCTCGTCGGTCCGTTAAAGGAAGGCTTTATTCGAGGCGCGGGAAATGTGGGCTTCGGCAGCGATCGGATCGAGGACGTGGACGGCGATGGCGTGACGGCGTGCGAGCCCGGTAAGGGCAGGCTGCGTTCCTGGATAGGTGCCAAGCGCAATGTCTCCTGTCGCCAGGCGTTCATCTCGCGTTTCAGGGCATCGTACTGCTCTTGCAGGCGAGCTACCTGGTCAGTGACCTGTTTGAAGTCATCTGTGTCCTTGAAGTTGGTTGTGCAACAGTTCGGGGTGTATAGGCATTGCAGCTGAAGGTTGCCACATCGTTGGCAGGGTGTCAAGCCGTTGCATTTTATCTTCCGCCTCTTGCACTCGTTACTGTGGTGGACGTGGTTAGATGCCGAGTCAAGATAGTAAAGGTGTGTCAAGGGTAGCGACAAAACGAGTAGTACAAGATCACGGATAGAAGGGACAAAACACAGAGACACGGAGCACATACCAGGCAATCGAG